TGAAGGCCGATCATGTAGCCAGGCAACCGAAGCCCATGCGTGAGACCACTAAAACAGGCGCTGTTCCTACACCCTACGCGTCAAGTTCCCCTCAAGTGTTTGAGAAGCGCCAATCATCTCAATACTCCCTTGGGTCCCGAACAGCGCCGGTAGAAACAAGAAGGTCCCAAGAAGAGCATGAAGCTCTTGACATAGACTCCGCCACAATGTTTAACAGATTTTGCAAACCCCGCTGAACACGGCATCATTGCAACAATCCCCATTCTCTTCCAACGCAAGTATGAGAACGAGTTGAACTTCTACAGTTCCAGCCAAATCGCTCATTATTCATTATCATGTCATTCCTCCATCCCAGAAGGTAACTGCACGATGGGGATTGGGCACAGTGGAGACACGCTGAGAACGCCTCATGTTCTCGAGCTCCAGGTGTCTTTGGGTGATCAAGTTTGACGGTTACGAGGACTGCCCGGCGTCGGGTGCGCATGGTGCGCATGGTGCGCATGGCTGAGCTGGCTGAGGAGGATGTCAGCTTGCAGACCTGCCTAGAAGGCGGGACACACCGCTCCCTGGCTCGGTTTGATTCGCGATTCGCGCCAAAGCGGCAGGTCTGGAGCGAGTGCTGAACCTCGATCCAGCACCGCTGCATGGTGCCTCCGCTGATTCAAACTGTATGTGTATGGGATCAAGCACAGGGCTTCAGAGCATGTTGGCTTGCTTTTGACTCTTGCTAACTTGAGGAGATAGAGACGGATTGACGCTTTGGCTGCTTGATGGCTCGAAGACAGTGGACGGGTTTGAAGTCAGTGGCTTATCTCAGATCTCAGCTTTGCCTGACACTTCACATCAACTAGGAGAGCTTCACCAGACCCTGTCGACCCAGCATGTAGCTTGTCACGCACGCACACATAACCACAGAACCACAAGCGCACATGTATACATATATATATATTTATACACAATAGACATTACCACGACACAGACACAAACGCACACACACACAGACGCACAAACACTTGCTCAAATTCACAGCAATCATCAAGTTCACTGAAACTTCTTGGGAAGCCTGCGGAGACCTTGACGCTGCCTCTGCCGACGCGCCGACTTTGGCAAGATGTGGAGAGATTCTCTGAGCCGGATGGAATCTCGGCTGAAAGCAGAGATGGTCTGGCCCACTCGGCCTTTCGATGCCTTCTTTTCATTGAAGTGCTTTGGCCTGATGAGCTTCTTCGGGTGCCTGTCGGCCATATTCTATCCTGTGCTCTGGATTGCCGTGATAGCTCTCACCCTCGTGCCATCGATTGGCCAGCTCTATGCTCCACCAGTAGTGATCCTGACAGCCTTCGGCACGGTCTACGGTCTGTCCATGATCGCAGTCTACTATGTGAATACCCGCCTGAACGTAGCCGTTGCGCACATGGGTCTCAGTGTCCTCATAGGAAGCGGTGGGCTCTTCCTCGCTTGCATGGCGGAAAAATGGGCAGATGAGCGGTGGAAGGTGCGTGCTGTGGCTCAGTGGAAGTACACCGCCACACCAATTCTCGCCACGTCTTGTCTGGTGCAACTCTCTTGGCCCTGGGCCATATGCTGCGCGGGCATTTGCGTCCTCGCGGTGAAGGGCTTCCGCATGTTCATCCTCCTGAATTGTTGGGGAGGGCACTTCGTTTCGAAGTCTGGAAGCATGAAAGTGTTGCTGACAGGCGACTCTTTCCCGCCCAAACTTGATGGAGTGCAGAACTTTGCGCGCAACACCATCCAGGCCCTGGTGAAGAATGGGCACAAGGTTCATGTGTTTTGCAGCAACGGAAGCCCAGACACCCCCTTCGCCCCGGAGAACTATGGAGCTACCGTGTCCCGCGGGCCGGGAGTGGAGATACAGCCGAAGCACAAGATCACGCTTCCTTCGCCTCATTTTCTCTTGGCCTTGATACACTTCAAGCCGCACATCATCCAGTTCTTTGACTTCACACCCTCCGCATTCTTTTTGGTGCCTGTCCTCTGGTGGCTCGGCCTTCCGGTTGTGATTTCGCACCATTCCAGAATAGACCTCTATGCCACGTACGTGCCGGGAATCATTGGGGATTACTCGCCACAGGTGATGCGTGCAGCCTGCGAGGTGGTCTTCCCCTTGGTCACGGGGCATCTGCTGATCGATGGCAACCAGCGCGAGCAAAGTTGGTTCGCGGGTCACCCCAATGTGCGATTTTGGTCCACGGGCTGCGACCTCGAGTTCTTCCATCCGTCCAAGAAGAACCCGAAGATCCGAGAAGAATTCAGCAATGGTCGACCAGACCTTCCATTAGTGCTCTTTGTGGGGCGCATGTCACCTGAGAAGCAGGTGGATAAGATCATCGACTTTGTGAAGGTTGTAAATCCTGAAGGCTTGCTCGGTTTTGCCAAAAGCACTCTTGCAATCCTTGCGTGTTCTGCATGTCTTGAGACGTTGACCCGGCTTAGTTGGTGCCCTTTGAGGCGAGCCCGAACTGTGTCGTTTCGCCATCATCGGCCACGGGGACTCCTGGGATGCCATCCACGAGGAGATCGGGCGCCGCGCGGACGTGAAGATGCCGGGGGTGGTCACCGGGGAGAAGTTGGCCGCGCTGGTGGCCTCCGCGGACATCTTCTGGTCGCCCACCGTCACGGGCACCTTGGACCTCGTCTTCATCGAGTCCCAGGCGGCCGGCATCGCCGTGGTGGGCCCTCGGGCTGTGGCGGTGCCGCTGGTCGTCACGGACGGCGTCAACGGCATGCTCTACACGCCCTTGGATATGAAAGATGCCAAGAGAGCAATTCAAGAGGTTATCCCACAGCTGGACAAGATGAAGGTTGAAGCTCGGAAGAACGCCGAGGCAAACTTCAGGTGGTCCAAATCTTCTGATGAAGCCATAGAGTTTTACAAGCACGTTTTGCAGTACTATGCTAATGTTTCAGCCTAGATGCAGGGGAAGCTGCCCTCTCTCAACCTCAAGAGCCAGTCAAGTTCTTATTTCGACTCTTTTGCTTGTCAGGCTTCTTCCCAACAGCTCGCGAAAGCTGCCCAGAAGCTGTAGGGTCTCGTGTCACATGCATTGCAAAGCTAGGGGGCAATGAATCTCCCGGGAGAGGTGTTGCGTAAGCGAAAAGCTCGGAGCATGCGTTATCCAAATTTTGCCAGAAGGGATAGACACGTGCAAGCTGACGGCCAGCAACTTGCGTGGCAACAAATGCAAGTTGTTGTTGAGGCCACATGTTTTGCATTGGCTATGAGGAAGGTCGGGCCGGCAATCGAGGATTTGATGTCCCATGAAAAAAAAGAAAAAGAAAAAACACAACACTGGCAAGTCCCTGTGGTGGAATCAATGGAGCGTGGGACGGGATTCTCAGCTTCCGTCGCAGATGCGGGCGAGCGCTTCATCCCACGCCTCGGTCCTGGACGATGGCGGGAAGGGCCAAGGCCGGGAGCGGGCAGAAAGCGGCCGGCGAGTGACTCAGCAGGTCCCCGCGAATCCTCGGCGGGGGCATTGCTTTACCAGACAGATTTAGAGGTGTCAGATTTTAAGTGACATCTTCCATGACCCCTGTCTCCACCTTCTCCTCCATGTCGTACTACGATCATGGCAGCCGTGGCTCTGGACAGCTCTTACAAACAAGACTCTGACAGCTGTGACAGGGCTGGCCCTCACAGCCTTGAAAGACCAAGCGCTAACGCCACTTGCCCGACCCCGATAGCTGCGACAGACCAGTGGCCCAAGCCCTCGGCTGTGCCAGACCAGACCTCGGTGGCCTGACTAACTTTGCCTTTTGCTTAAGCAGTGGGCTACCCGCTGTTATTTGTGGATAGCCCTCTGCTAATTACGGAAGTGCACCTTGTGGAAGGATCCCGTAAGGAAGTGCCGTCGGCAAAAACTATATCTCAAGGATTTCTTACAATGATGGGGACATTGCCAAGTTTAGCGCATTTTTTGCATGAGAGATTTGCTGGTTGCGGGGTATTGCGAGCGACCTCGTGAAAGCGTGAGCTCCTTTCAGCATGCCAGGGACTCGACGTACCAGCGTGCCAAGCTGGAGAGAAGAGGTAGCAAGAATTTGCCGCCGCCGCGATAGGCCTTGCCTCGGTGGCTTCTCTTTCTCACCAATCCCTCCCATGAAATACAGACCGTGAAGGTTTTGGCAAAGCTCACCGGGCAAGTTGCCATGAAGGTGGCCTTCAATGGATGTTTCGAAGATGTTGAAGCATGGCATGCTTACCCGAACCATTGAATTACTGTACTAAGATAAGGTCTTCTATTGTTACCTCTCAGACCATGACTTACAGCTGAGCTGCGTCACGGAAGACTTCCTTTCTCAATCGGCCGCGCTTCCTCGCCCGCGCAAGCCAGTTGCGCCTTGGCGCAGTTGCTGTGGGCACGGCGGAGCCATAGCAAGGGCCAGCGAGGAAAACGGCCACGGATTCCGGGATGAAATAGATCTTTGCCGATCAGAGAGTTCTCTGCTTGGTTTGTGCAGGAGTCAGGATACTTTGTGGTCACCTTGGCTGACTCAGGGAGGCACAGGCAAGTTCCGCCGCCTGGCACGAGTGTGGCACTGTCTAATATTCTGTCACGCGATTGGTGAAACAAGCTGCACTTGTCGCATTTGAGGCGAGATGACGCCTCCTTGGCTGTGATTGGCACCCACATCCGAAATCTCCCTCCTGGCTGGGAGGCCGGACTGCTTTATCGGAGATGAGTAGAACCTTTGGTTGTGCCTTTCGGACCCGCCCCCCCCCAACATGTTGGCACACCGCGTTTCTTGTTGGTTTCCCTAAGAATCGCCTGCGAAAAGGAGCACCACCAACGAAATCACGTGCAGGTTCGTCCCGGGTCGCCTCCGCAGATCGCCCACCGGCGCTCTGGTAGGATCTGCTACTCCCTGGAGGCCGGGCCGAGGGGCGGAAAACGTTGCCTAGGATTGCGTTGGGTTTGCTGGGTTTTGGTTTTTCTCTCGGGTTTTCACGGGCTTTGTTGTGGGTTTCGCGGCGCTTTGCTGTGGGTTTCACGTTTTTTTTTGGTTGCGAGTTGATATACTGATTGAAACGTCTCGCCCAGGATGCCTGGAGCAAAGACCTGGAGCGAGTCAAGGTTGGGATGCAGAGAGAAGGTTCGGCTCGATTGATTCCTGCTCTGCACTTTGTCTTGGTGCAGTGTTTCTCTATTTGTATTTCTCGTTCCTCTCACGTTGTGCTTTTGTACCTCGTTTTTCGCTTGCTGATGTCCACATCATGCATCCCTGCAGAAGCACAGCTTGGAATCTGCAAGATGTGATGTCCCAGCCGGGCAGTCGTTTGCTCAATGAGTAGCAAGCCCTGCCTCACGTGCCTGAAGCGTGAGCCATGGCTACCATGGACTCGGCGGAGCCCGACCCCAGCAAGTTTATGCCGAATAGCACCTCGAGCAGTGAGCCTCAGGCGCTCACACTGCACTGGACGCTAGGCATCAACAAGGATGTTGTCGCGGGTGTGCACAACCTCTCGGATTCAGAGTCCTCGGACATGTTCTATGCAGCCGCCCACACCGGCGTGATCTTCGATTACAACACTGGGGTGCAAAGGCTCTTGCAGGGGCATGTCAACCCGATCTCAGCTACCGCAGTGTCAAAAGACAAGAAGTGGATAGTGACAGCAGACACGGGGCCCGACAGTATGATGGTCGTATGGGAGCGGGAGTCAGGCACGCCCGTGAAAACTTTCTTCAACCCTCATCCTTACGGGGTCCACGCGCTGGACATAGCGCCAAAGCTTCAGTACCTCGTCACCTTGTCGGCCCCGATCCCCAGCTCGGATCCCCTCGCCTCCACTTCAGCACCCGACCAGAGCCGCACCACAGACCACGGGAAAAGCCAAAAAGAGGGCGAGCAGGATTTCCAAACCATCTCTGTGTGGGATTGGCCATCTGACAACGATGGCCCCATCTGCACTGCAGTGGGCACGCAGGATGTGCAGACCTGTGTTTTGTTCAACGCGTGGGACACTCACGAAATCGCCACGAACGGCAAGCGCCGGGTGTTTTTCTGGACCTGGGACGTTGAGCAGCCCTTCCAGTTCTATTCGCCCGCATTGGCACCTCGGGACTTCAAGCAGCGCATCGGGGACTACACGCAGACCATCTTCCTGCCAGAGTCGACCCAGGCGGCCACGGGCACCATCGACGGTGATGTGGTCATCTGGGACCTGTCTCTCATCGTAGATGGTTTGAGCCGCCCGGATGAGAGGAGAGCGGTGAAGATCATCAAGCTCTGCCCGGACGTGTCTCTGAATGTTCTGCAGGTCCATGAGAAGCCTTCGCGCGTGGTGATCGGCACAGCCGACGGCGCCGTCCGCTTCTACGACTACCAGTTCCGAGTGCAGGCCTGGTTCGAGGACCTCCTGGCCGGCTCCGTGAAGTCCATCTCCTTCGAGAGGGCCAGCGAAGATGAGGACGAGCCAGCGGGCAGCATGGGCGTGGGAGTGGAGGATGATTTCAAGTGCCCCAACTTCTTGGTGAGCACCGGCTCCGCTTTGGTGGTGATGGTCGAGTCCAAGCTCTTCTATGAGCTCTCGCCCGAGAATCGGCGGGGTCGCCTGGTACTGCAAGGGCTTGACTCGCCCGTGCACGGACTTTGTTGCCATCCGCAGCTGCCCTTGGTAGCAGTGTGTGGATACTCCGGGTTCTTGCACATGTGGAACTACAACACCAGGCCCGGCTGTGGTTGTCAAAATAGGGTAACACCAAAATGGCTTGCCCTGGTAAGTGGGAAAGTGGACGATGACTAAACCTGCGGTCCGTTTCCTGGTGTTTCATTTTTGACCCATACCCAGGTCTCTGCACTTGGTGAAGATCTTTGAGAAGCTCGTGCCCCACATCCTTCAGTTTTCGCCCGATGGGAAGCTCTTGGCAGTGGGCTTTACCAATGGGCACTGCAAGCTGTTGAAGTCTACGGATCTGTCCGAAGTCGTGTCCTTCCGCGACTCCAGGGATTGTGTGACCCACATCGCCTTCAGCTCGGATGCTTGCCATCTCGCCCTGGCCCATGCGGACAGATCTCTCTGCTTGTATCGCTTCTCCCACCGGCCGAATGACAAGAACTTCCCCAAGGAATCTTTGTTGCATTTTGTTTGGATGTTAGGAGTTAGGACTTTAGCTTTTTTGCCAACTCATGGGTTTTCCAAATCAAACCACCAAAAGGTATTCACTTGGGCTTCGCAGATTTCGCCGAGGAGTGGATGTACTCCGCGAAGCACAAGTCTCACTGGCGGCCCATCGTGGGGCTCTGCTTCTCGGGCCCGGAGTCCGAGAAGCTGCGGCTCTTCTCGGTGGGGGAGGACCGGCGGCTGGTGGAGTACAGCGTCAAGAGCTCCGAGTTCGGCGGGCTGCAGGCGGGCTCCGAATCCACTCCCCCCGGGCAAAAGTGAAGCCAGGCTGAAGGGAGAATCCCAGGCACCAATAGCGGAGATGTGTCCATGCCCTGGAAGTTCCTTTGAGGATCTCCGCCCTGAACAAAAATCTTGGGGACCATGATTTCAGCGATCAGTTTTGAGTGTGCCTCAGGTGGTGCAGCCGGACACCGTGGTGGAGCAGGAGGCCCGGCCCACGGGGTGCATGTGGTATCCCTACAGCGGGGGCAAGGGCGACAATCAGAAGGTCCTCACCATGAACGACGAGTACAAGTTCAAGATCTGGAACACGGTGAACAGGTCCTGCCGCAAGACGGCTCTTGCACCAACCTATGGTGGGCCCATTACAAGGATGACTCCTGTCTACTCAGAAGCGGACGGCGAGGACCAGTTCATGCTCTACGCCACCCACGAGAAGGTCCTGGGACTTGTGCAGCTGCCCCTGGATGGAAACCCCAACAAGTGCATGGGGCTTATTGCGCACCCAGGTCAGATCGCAGCGATTTCCGTAGACTACCAAGGCCAGTATGCTTTCACATGCGGTGGCAATGACCTCACTGTGAATCAGTGGCTCATCGACCCTCAGCCTGTTGCCAATGCAAGCGTCATGGGTGGCACCGGCACCGAGCCCTTCGTCAAGCTCTTGGATGGCGGGGAGGATGGTGCCTTCTTCTGCGACATGAAGGATTACTTCTACTATTCGCAGATAAGATCTCAGGACGAGAACACCACCAAGGCCCGGCTCCTGGACGGCATGATCCCGGTGGAGGAGATCCCTCATTTGATGTGCGCCTTGGGCTACTTCCCCACGCAGCTGGAGATCACCAACATGACCAACGAGGTGAAGTACTCCAGGTTCGCGGAGACCGGGGAGTACGTGGACCGGATCGGCTTCGAGGACCTGGTGAAGCTCTACGTGAACCACCGGCCTGTCTTCGCGGTGGGCCCGGAGCAGATCAAGCAGGCCTTTGACGCTCTGCGCGAGGGGGGGGCGGGCCCCTCGCGGGACACCTTGCTGAACTTGCTGACCACCCACGGAGAGAAGGCTACCCTAGAAGAGCTGGAGCGGTGCTTGGAGGCACTTGTTGGGGACTCCTCCATCAACCGGGTGCTGGATGCCTTGCTGAAAGCATAGCAGCTTTGCCTCTCTTTTTTGCTTGCTTGCTTGCTTGGATACAGGAGGCCAGTCCCCTTTGTTTTGATCGCGGTGCGTGCCATGCCTTGCGGTCTGTTCAGGACGAGGAGGTCGATGCCCTGGACTTCGCGCATAATGTGCTGGGTCTGGCAGATGCAGAGGCGGACGAGTCGCAGCAGGAGATGCCGGCAGCAGAAGGCTCTGAGTGGGCGGGAAACACCACCCTGGCTTTCTCCACAGTGGCAGCGCAGTAGGTCGATGGTCGGGACTCACCTGGGGCAGAATGCGCAAAATGAGGTTTCACGGATCTTCCAGAATTATGGAGGCAGAGAGTTTGGGCGAATGCTCATGCATGTTCCGCACTCGCCGTATCACCCCTGCATTCCTTGTCCCGACAAGTCTCACCCAGAATCCAGACAAAATGTGCTAAAGACGTTCCAGCATGATCTCGGCTTGAACTTGACCTTCGAGTAGGATGCATGGATTTGCCTTCTGAGGCTAGTCCTGGCGCAACTAGGCAAGATGGCGGGAAAGGCCGGGCCTGGGCTGCCTGGGCAAGCCCCGGCTAACTGGGTGGGGCAAAATATGGTTTAAACACGAAGAATCATTCATAACCAGTGGTTCAAACATGTTTAAACCAATGGGTGGCCCCACCCTACCGGCTAATGTTTCCAGATCACTGAAACTTCAAGACGCCGTGTGGGCAGACGTTGTTACGTGCGTCCAACACCCAATCATGCGCTCTTGGTTCATAAGGGCACTCTAGCTTCTTGCCATTGCCTGATTTCTTGGTGATTGCGAATCGATCGGGAGGCTCTTTGGATGGGACGAACAGGAATGATTGCCTTCAGGGATTTCTCTCAATTATCAGTCACCAGATTTTAGTTGGCAAAATCAAACTATCATCCACAGCTCCCCCAGCACGCAATCGGCTCTTGTCAGGCCGCGTGGCTCTTGCTACAGGGGCAATGGCAGAGCTCTCAGCATATATGCCAAGTTGTGTGAATGTGTGTGTGTGAGTGTGAGTGTGAGTGTGAGTGTGAGTGTGAGTGTGTGTGTGTGTGTGTGTGTGTTTCGGCTCCTTGTTCTTCCGCAGTTGGTCTTCTTTTTCCAGCTCTTGGTATTTGCAGTGTTTTGGATATGGCCACCCAATCTGCCATTTGCACTACAGTAGCAATTGTTTGAATATTTATGATGTTCACAAATTTAACACACACACACACAGCTTCTGCTGCATGTTCACGTGCCGTGCCCTTGCCTGGCAAGAGCGGCAGCTTGTTTAGCCACACATTGATGCCATGGCACGCAGAGCGGCTTTTTTCTTCGTGTGCTGTCTGAGCTATCTGAACTCTCCAGACTTCAGCGTGACTTCCAGTCGGCAAGTTCTCCGGGGGCCTGGGGGAGTACTCCCAAACGGGGAGCTCCGAGATGTTTACGACATGGAGCCGTCCACGGAAGCGAGAGAAGGGCCACTGCAGCTCTTCGCCTCGCCCATTTACCGCCGTCGGATACGACGGGAGGAGGACGCAGTGCGGGAACTGAACGAGGAGATTGCAGTCAACTTCAAGCGGCTGATGGTCCGCGACGAGAAAGGCGTCGAGTGGTCGAAGACAGACTACGCAGGCGGATATACTTCGTACTTCAGTCTCCCAGCGCTGCAGAAGTGGGTTCCGCCAATCCAAACCCTTGAGCAATGGTTGAAGCCACACATCGAAGAGTTCAGGAAAGAAGCTGGCTTGCTGGAGGAACCGGAGCTTTTCATGACAGACTGCTGGGCAAACGTCATGGGTGAGGGGACGGAGCACTGCTTTCATCAGCACAACAGATCAACCATCAGTGGCACCTACTACGTGCAGACTCCCAGGGGCTGCTCCAGTTTGCTCTTTGAAGATCCGCGTTTGGACAGGCACGCAGTTTGGCCTTTGCCCATCTGGGTGTGTCTTTCTTTAGCGAACCCCTTTTTGGTTGGTTTTAGAGAGACACCGTGGGACACCCCAAGAAGAACCACCATTTTGGGGGTCCCCTAAACAAAGACACACCATGTGTATGTATCACACGTTAGTAAAGATTCCAGAAAGGCAATCGTGGTTGGGGACTTTCATCGAGTTTTGGTAAGCCTTCGAAAATCATTGCAGCAGAGAGTTGCTTGTTTCTCCGAGCCAATCCCCGAGCCAATCCCAGTCAACAGCGGCCAGTACAACCATGAATGTGGTTGCTCGATTGAAGATGCTCTTAGCGCAAAGGATGTTGCGAAGAGACTGAGCCTTTGCTAGGGTTCTGCTTGCAAAGTTTCGTTTGCGTTACCAGCCCCAGGACAGTTGCCAAGCGGCAGAGGAAAGTCATTGCGTGTCCAGCGATTGCTGGATTCGTCGTCCTGTTCGAGAGCTGGCAACGACATACGGTTCCTCCCAATGCCGGTGAGGGTGAGCGCATCAGTGTCAGTTTTAACTACCACTGGCGCTATGAAGAGCCCACCAAGCTGCAGAGGGAAGCCTAAAATCGGTGCTTTGCTTTCCAAAACAATTGGAATCAAAACCTGGTACTAACATGGTCTACCCACAACTGTGTAATGAATGTAGAAGGCAGCTGCACCCATTTCTGGTTGGGATTGTCCCTTACCATCCAATTACCGGGTTTTGATTGTGGTTCATGTTGGCCCTCGTTGCATTGCTTTTGCATTCGTACGCACACGAGGTGCCAACGAACGGGAACAGCACGCGCCAGGCCCGTGCCCGTCAGTCAGCCGTGAGCGAGTTTTGCGAGCTCCCCATTTGCCAGGTGAGTGCAGAGGAGCTGGCAGCGAGGCCGAGCCAGATGTGGCAACTTTTTTAAAACCGCTTCCTTTTGATGGGCTTTTGCTTTGCTCGGACCCTTGTTTTGGAGACCTGGAACATCAGGATGTTTTTGCCATCTGATTTTGAGCATCAGGACGTTTAGACCTGGACACCAATCAGATGTTCCAACCGTTGGTATCTGGCCAGATCCGTAGGCTGCAGGATTCCGAGCGAAACCGCCTGGACGCAGAAGCGCGCGTGGAGGCTTGAAGGGTTGAGGCCGTGTTCGGCTCAGGAGTGTCGTTCAAGGAGGGTGCCAAGCTTCGTATGGAAAGAAGGGACACTAGAGAACAAAAATCCTGAGACACACCACTCTCACTTCGAATACGCGGTCTTCTCACCGCTTTCAGCTAGATTCTGGTGGATGGCCAGAAACCTTTGTTCTGGAGGCATGTTCCCTAGGGTGAACTCTTGATTCAAACACTGCGCAAAAGGAACGGTCTGTGCCAATAGATTGGTGCAAACAGGATTTTGAACATCGGGCTCTGAGGCCATTTTTGGTTATTGAGCACTTCTTTAGCCCCCAGAATAATCACGGGTGGTGAATTTATGACCGCCAGCAACTTCATCGCAATTTCCAAGCCACTTCCCAACTGAAGCATGTTTCTGAGCGGCTTTTGATGGGAGAACAGTGGAGTTGCATTGGGATCCTGTGGTTTCTGTGTGGGTAGGGGTGGATGGGGGTGAAGAAAATAGCTGAGAAACAAATGACGCTGAGGGCAGGCTGCTTCTTGGCTTCTTGTTGAGGCTGCAGTGCTTTTCCTAGCCTTTGCAAAGGAATCCTTGGTTTGTCTGGGGCTGCTTTTTTGAAGAGGGGCTGTGTGAACGGATATGTCAAGTTCCTCTCTGTGTGCCAGGACATGCAAATCAAGCTGCACCACTTGCTAGTGGAGATTAGCACTCTTCGGGAGGAACGAGACGGGGCCAGAATAGAGCTTGCAGAGGCCAGGGCGCGCACTGACAGCAAGGAGAAGACACCTTGCCTATCCCCAAAATGGGATCTCAGCGTGCCAGAATGTCCACGATCTTTTGTAGGATGTGACATGGTCTAACCTGTTGAACACACGCGTTGCAAGAAGTAGACACGAACCTCCTTCTGCATGTGCCAGTCCCTGTGAGGCGAGACAAGAGATTGAAAGGCTCGCTGGGGCCATTCGCTTTGGCAAGCAACACGTCATGTGGAGAGTTGAAGCAAAAGAAGCGGGGTTGCTCGGTTCCGAATACTTTTGTGTTAGAGCATTGAAATTCATATCAACCATAGCGTTGACGGGGTAGGCATATCGTGACATAGCATGCAATGTATATCGAGTGCCATGTAAGGCTTTGAATTGAGCTTCTCTATGTGCTAAGATTTATGTGGGATGCAAGTACTGCGTGCTCAACCTCATTGGCAAGCTGCCCGGCGCGCGGGTCCCTTGCAGGCTTCAGCATGGACTGGCGCACAGAAGTGCCAGGGACCAAGCTGTGAGCATCACGCCGCAAGCGCCGCAAGCGCGGTTTGGTCAAGGCCTCCCAGACGTCCTTAACCTCGGCCTCGCAGACGATTTTGGTGTCGCCGATTGGGTTACAGCCCAGCAGCTCAGCCCTCAGCTTTGGCAACTCCCTGCCTGTCCTTCAGGGAGGCGTCAGCAGTTGGATGCGTGTCTTTTTTTAGGGTACCCCTTTTCTTGTGGTTTTCGAAACCAAGAGGAAAGCCACGATTTTGGGGGGGGGGTTGTCCGAAAAACAGACAAGCCCGCATGTTGATTGCGTCAACGCTCATTCGATTGCTTATTTCAATCCTTTGCATTGAACTTGAGGGAGTCCCAGCCATAGATTGGGTGCCCCTTCGGTGGACCATTTTTCGTGAGCATTTCTGTTTGATGACCCACTTTGTTCTTTTCTTTTTGGCAATACCAGGTAGTGCCAAATGCATCAAGAGCGAAGCCTCCGGCGTGCCGGCAGTGCGGTGGGCCTAGTGCCAATAACGTTGCTGGGAGGGCATTGACGCCTTAGAACAACAGCAGTCATTTTTTTCGCGATCTGAACTCAGGCATTGAGCATTCCATGGAATCCTAGTGTGTAAGCAAAACCAATGGGACCAAGGCCGAATTCCTGGCAGCCGCCGCAATCAGCGCGCGAAGCGGGGAAATGCCTCTCGACTCGGCCTCAGAAGGTGCTAGGGCTCTTTGGGTGGAAATGCTTTCCGTTGATTTGGGCAATGATCCATTGAGAGTGATTCTTCGCAGCTTGCGTTGTGTGACTCTATGACTGCTAAATTGCAAGGCCAGTCTCTGGGGATGATGGTGAAGATGGCACGGCAGTGCTTGCAGACGGTTGCAGTTTGTGGATTGTATGTCGTGAAGCGGTCAGAAATGCAGTCGGCTCATGGCCAAATGGTTGCGGCAATCTTTGTGTTGCTGCTGTTGAGACGGTTTGGCCCTATAGTTTCGCGGGGGTCAGGGGCTCGGTTGGTGGGCGCAGGCGACATGTTCCCAGGGCCGGACTTCAGCAGCGGCTTGGAGCAAAGCAGCGGAGACATACGTGGCCATGAATTTTAATAGGGAACCACCTCAAAAGTGATTGCTGGACATGAATCCCCACCCGAATGATGTCCACCATTTCGGGTCCCTTACTTCTGCATCAAGCTGCGAATTGGAATAATCGGAATACTCAAAAGCGCCCATTTGCAGGCAGCGGCTTCCGGTCTTTCCAGCCGCTTGCCCCTAGCTCAGCTCTTGAAGAAAGGGTCGCCGCTCGCCACGCATTCTGAACTGGAGGCGACGACGGCCAATGTGCCTGCCGCTGCACCGCCGCCCAGGCACCGTTTTCAGCATATTGGGGACGGACAATCTGCGCAATCCGGGCCAGAGTTATGGAACTTTTCGGATTTGGTCAGGGGATGTTTGAACCCTAAACCCGAAACCCGAAACCAGAGAGAGAGAGAGAGAGAGAGACAGAGAGAGAGAGAGAGAGAGAGAGAGAGAGAGAGCGATGTCAGCCGGTACAGTTCGGTTTGCGTCCGGTAGAGTTTGGTTTTTCTTTGGAAGGTCCGAGAAGCCCGTGGAGATCATCGTTTCAGCCTGGAGCTTGGGGCCTCGAGGCACCCGGAGGCCCGGAGTTCAGCGCTTGGCACCAGGTTCCGAGAGCCACTGGACCTGAGGACATGATCGAGGTGCGCACTGCTCGAGTTTTCTTAATGAACCCCGGAAGCAGAACCCCTGGTTGATTTTGATTGGGGGGCGTCCAATTCCTTTTAGTGGGGATTCAGGCCACTTTTGGAGGGAACACCCTAGTGGGACGGGTTTATTAATCCGTCAACATTACCCCAAACCGGGGTGGCCAGAAATTCCATCCCTTCAAAGCATCTTCCATGCTGTTTTGTTTTTTGTTTCTGGCATCTCTTGAAGACTTTTGGCGCACCGACGGACCCAGGAGCGGCGGGGTCCTCCACCATCCAGGTCGCTCCAGAGCCTGCAGGCAAGCTCCAATTTATTTTGCAACTGAGCTCAAATGGCCATGGGTCAAGACCCCGTACCCCCAGTGAACATTCCAATCCCCACTACAATAGACTAAAAGGGTGGTGCACCTATCCCAAAATGGTAGCATTGGTTCTGAACCATGGCCAAATCCGTCTTCGGGAAGCTCGCTTCACCTGCCATCTTGCCCTGTCAGAACACGCAAGTGGCGGTGCCGCACATCGCAGCTTGTCAACCAAGCGGCGTTCGAATCTTGCAGAACTGAATCAGCTTGCCATAGGTCACGCGCCTGCCCTCTGCACCAGTGAACTCCCAAGTCAGTGGCTCAGGGCTGACTTGAGCGAGCGATGGGCGTGTGCTTGGTTTGCCGAGGCCTTCCCACCCCACGCTGTCAGCTTAGTGCAAGAAATTGAACTTCTGCGGCCTGCTTCCATGCTTCAAATGTTGCCTTGCTCCTGGATGTCTCATCAAACGACTTTCAGATGGCTGCATGCGTTGCCCACATTGCACAGGATGCGACGTACACGGCTTTGTAGAGACAGTCCATGACACTCCGAAACAAGGCCATGCAGATGCAGTATGGTGTTCGGCAGTAGCCCCGGGCATCAGGTCTTGAATGACCTTTAGCGCAGACATGCAGGTCGGTGGGTTGGTAGGAAGGTAGGCACGGTGGCAGTAGGCAGGCAGGGGCCTGAACATCACGTGATGCTTGCTGCATTGGTGGAGCATGCTCGCTTTCCCCAACACTTTACAACACTTCATTTGACTCTCTGCCAACCTCCAAGAGCCAGCCCCAAAACATGTCTGGCCATGACTTAAAATAAGGACCCCCCCTGGAAGCTGACTGGACATACAACCCCAAATGATGTCCACCATTTTGGGTCGCTAATGAAAATTCATACCTCATTTTAACAAAATGTTGGCCCCCCTTTCGTTTTTTCATTCTAATGAGAATCCAGAAGCACTCCCGCTGTTTTGCCGCTCGAAAGCTGAGGATGATGACATCTGCCAGTGCATCTGTGCCATCTGCTCCCGCTTCTCTGGCCAGCCTGGCTCTTTGCGTCTCCCGCGTCTCCCGTTTTCGAGGCGCCTACGATCAACGCACGGCACCCTCAACAAAATTTGACCGATTTGATATACACCCAAAATATTTGAACCTCTTTGCAGGATGTTGGGAAGACCCCTGAAGTACTTTGCTGCTTTGCATAATTAAACTTTCGCTCCTCAAATATTTGACTTCCTCGCATGATTTTGGGAAGACTCCTAACGCACTTTGCTGATTCAATATTTTGTGTAGACTCCTGAAATATTGGACTTCTTGACATGCTTTGGGGTAGGCTCCCAGCATGTCTGACTTTTCTTACACGATCCTTAAATGGGGTAGACTCTGTAAAGTTTTTGACTTGACATGTTGTGGACTCCCTAAATACCAGATGTGAGTTCGACTTCTTGACCTGATTTGGGGTAGAGCCCCGAAATGGTTGTGGGTCAAAATTAAACCACCAGGCGACCGCAGGTTTTAGTCCATGTTTCCTTCTACCAGGGTTCCATTTTGGGTACCTGGCCATCATGGGTCAAAATCCAAATCGTACCCCCAGTGAACATCCCAATCCCCACTAAAATAGGTTCTAAAATGGGACCTACCAACCAAAATGGCCCACAGCCAAATGAGGTCACCCCTGATCTAAACTTAGACCACAGGGTCTTGACGGTTTAGAGATGGCCAGGCGATCTATGCATGCGATGCACTCGACAGCCATTTGGGTATGAGTCAAAATAAAACGACCAGCAAATGGACCGCATGTTTTAGTCCTTGGTTCCATTTACCAGGGCAAGCCATTTTGGGTACCTGGCCATGGGTCAAAATCCCGTGCCCCACGAAAATAGACTAAAATGGGTGGTGCACCTACCCCAAAAAAACAGACGTACTATTGGTATTGACCACCACCGCCACCTATTTTTGACCCACCGCCAAATACCCAGCATGGGATTTCCACTCGAAGCCGGCCAGGCAGCCCCAGCCGGGGGCGTGCGAGTGGCGCAGCGGCCGAGCCTGGTGCCCATGCCGCGGCCACAGGCCGGGGGCTTGGCGTCTCTTTCGGACGGAGGGCGTCTCTTGGAGATGGACCTGCCCCCCTTTGTGTGGCGTTTTTCAAGGGAAACCCAAGGGAACACCGGTTTTTGTGGAGTCCGAAAGAAGAGACACCCGCAAAATGCGACACCAGTTGGTTTCATGCCACTTTCTGTAGACTGCCGGGTATCGAAGTCGGCTGCGGCCTTTTTACTTCTGGACCTACTGACCTTGGCAAAATCATGAGACCAGTGCCATGCTCGCAATCTGGTTCCACATCTTTGGATCTTTGGCGTGCAGGAATGTTCTGGATTGAAGAAACATGTGCGGCTATCACTTGAACCCTTGGCCAAATATGACAAACAACAATAGTTGTTTTTTCTTTTTCTGGGAATATCATCTGCCTTGAATCAGTGCAACGCACATTTGCCCTGACAGTGCACGTTCAGATACACCACCCAAAGAGATTGCATCCTTGTCAGGCATGCATGCATGGTTACCAAGCAGTGAGATGAGAATTGTGAATTGACCCTTCTTCGCAAGTGTCGACCTTGCATGTCTTGGTCTGTGAATGACCAGGATGCGGCTCTGTGCAACTCGAGCAATTTGCGCAACAAATGGATTTGCTTGTCCACTTCTGTGTTGATTCACATGTCAATCTTGGGCACACCTTCTTTGCGTTGGTTCGATGATAGCCAAGCCCGTCCGAAGTGTCGTATGTCCACGTTATTGAAGAGAGCATTGTGCGGCGCAGCACAGAAAAGACCCGCATGCGTGTCGTGTGATACCAAAGACGGCATGCCAGCCTATCTAGACCTTCTTGTTCACATGGGCGTGATTAGCAGCCACCACATTTTGGCTCATGCCAGACTTCTGCCAACACTGAGAGCTGCAGGCAGTTGGCAGACTGTGATTTGTGTGTCAGCACCACGCTTGATGCCACCACTGCATGTTCAGTTCCGCTTGTGGTGTTTTGCTTTTGTTTTCGGAGACGCTTTGGTTTGCCAGGTGTCCAGCATGAAACCTGATGAGGCAGGCACACAGCATTCGCAAGAGGTGCCAGGTTTCAGCATGAGCCTGTCAAGCAGGATGTTTCTGCTTTTGCCGCCGGGACGAAGCTGGTGATTCTGTTGGCCCCTGGCCTAGAGGCCCCCCAGTAGGGGCTGGGACTGGCCTTCCATGGATCTCGAGGTTGTGTTCTGGAGCACAGCTTCGCACCTGGCATGGGCCGGGCAGGGCGCCCAGGTGACATCACCCACTTCCGCTTCCACTGCCCGGCTTCGAGGTTATTTCCTTTCCGCAGTCTTCAAAAAGCACAAAACCGGTTTGTTTTTCCTGAACCAACCGTTCACCCATTCTTACTATTTTTGAGAGACACAGACATTAGGTGTTGCTACCCGTACTTGAACCGCACCCCATCCTTTTGCCAACGGCCCCAAAACCCCCCCCCCCCTTGTCCCACGCCCAGGCCCGAGGAGGGCGGCATGGCGGAAGCTGGGCTGCCCAGCCGCGTGGTGCGCGGCGAGGAGCTGCAGGACTGGCCGAGGATTTTTTCGCTTCGCTCCAAAAAGTGGCACGACGGCACCTGGGTTTTATGGTCGCGGGTCAAAAATGGGGTAACCCCAAAATGGGTTGCCCTGGTAAATGGACATATGAACTAAAATCTGCGGTCCGATTCCTGGTTGTTTAATTTTGACCCACAACCTTATGGAAGCAAGGCGAAGACCGAAGGCAAGCCATGAGAAACAAATTGCACGCGGCTGCGGCGCTGAGCGCAATCCATCCTGAGTCCTAGACAAACTTTGTCCATTTCCTGCGCAAACAGCACGACTCAAATCGCAAGAGGAGTGACGCCACACAAAAAACAACAACCGAGATTTTCCTAGAAAGATTGAACAGCAGACTCCTTGGCGGCCGACAATTTTTTCAGCTTTTGATGTGAAAGGAGTGTGTTAACATGCCAAAGGTTTCTGCGCAGGGATTTCCCTTGAAAGGTTGTCCAAAAGCCATGCATCGTGGCACGCGTTGCTGAGATGGATAAATATCATGCGCCGATTGGCGCAGGATCTCATGCCTCTGGAGCCCTTGTGGGACATCTTGCTGCCGCTCGCCAGCCTGGGTGTGGGCACCTCGCTGGGCTTGTTCGGCATGCGGCTGACGCTGGGCCTCACGTTTGCAGCTCCGGCGCCTGTTGGATGGTCGCGGTTCGGGGTGATATATGCCTTAGCGGAACGAGTGCCGGAACAGTGGAGGCGCCAAATCTTTCCAGGGCCGGGGGATCAAGTCCAAGCCTATGGTCTGCCTGGTAGTTTTGGGCACGGGCCAGGCGTGGCCGCTGCTTCTCTTGCTGTCGCCCACCCTACTTAGCTTCCTCGAGGACTTCCATGAGCGACTGCTGTCCTGGCAGCTTTGGCAGCAGAGGCGAAAGGCCAACTGAGCCACAAACTGGCTGACTGGCCAGCACAGGGCATCCGCATGCTTGAGTGAGAATTGTCATGCGCAACAGAAGCGAATCGTTTGCCAGGGTACAGGTGAAAAGTGTTTTCCTTCACTTCACAGCACCTGATTGTTAGTGACTTATCCATCCATTGCGGGCTTGGTTGCAGCCACTACGAAGACCATCGAAGCAACAAGTTTGTAGTGTGTATGCAAGGGCATGTGTGTTGCGCGTTCTTTCGATGTTGTCGGCAGCTCTAGAAACTTAGCGTTGCTTTTTGCAATCGTTTTGCAGACCTTGTCCGAGGCATCTGGGTGGTATCTTTGGGCAGCCCATGCTGGTTGCTCAAGTGGCAGTAGCCCATGCAGAGAGGCAATCTGCCAGCGCGAGCGAGCAGCATGCTGGATAGATTCACTGTAAGATGATAGTAAGTGTACATGTCCGAGCGGATGTTTAAATGCTTTTGGACGCTGTCACATGTTTGAGAAGAAAGACACGCGTGTTTGCATGTGACTGCATGCACAAGGCAGCTTGAGACATGCAGGCAAGCAGGCTCCAAGTGCCTGAAAGCATTTGGAGTACTTGTTGGTGGCTACTCCTTGGGAGCGGTGTTGGCCTGAGTGAGCAATCAGGATCAATTGGTTTGTGACAATCCATGTGGCCGTTGGTCAAAACCAATGGGATCCCATTTTGGGGTAGGTGCACCACCCATTTTAAATCTATTTTTGCGGGGATTGGGAGGTTCGCTGGGGGTACGATTTGGATTTTGACCCATGTGATGTGTGTTCCGTGCCGCTTCTACATCTGATTGAGTCGAGGCATTGGGTGGGCTCATTCGGCGCAGCATGCTGCTGTTACCCCACGCCTTCTCACAGGCGAGCACGTGCATCACAATGAACAGGGAACGTATCTGGCCATGGGTCAAAATCCAAATCGTACCCCCAGTGAACATCCCAATCCCCACTAAAATAGATTTAAAATGGGTGGTGAATTCACCTACCAACCAAAATGGGATCCCAGAACGGTTTTGACAACCACAGCCATCTCAGTTCAGTCTCCGAGCTCAGCGGCGAACCTTGGCAGCGGCAGCAGTGCACCTGCCCGCTGCTTCTCGCAGGTGTGCCTGCAGCTTCTGATCCTTGTGCTGGCCGAAGGCCTAGCCTTGAAGCTTTCGGCACATTTTGGGCCTCTCTGAAGCTAATTTGACTCCAGCATGACTATTCTTAATATGCACCCTCCTCTCCGCACTTTAAGGTTGGGGGCAACCTGCTGATCATTTGGTACAGAGGAGACATTCTTGGAGAACACTCCCATGGGCACTTGGAGGACCCTGAAGAAGATGTCATTGCACGTGTCTGACTGTGAAGTGCAGCACAGAATTGGTATCAGGTTTTCAGGGCCCCTTTTGTGGATTGATTGGAAGGTAAGCGAGACAGAAGCCACCCATTCTGTGCGCTGCGATTTGGAGACTGAAGCTCAAGCGCCGCAGGAGACACCGCTAGCTCCCAGCCATCCAGAGGAGTCCAGAACCAAAACGCGCCAGGCTAAGTTTTGCTTTCTGTCTGGATGAAGATTTGCACTACCTTCCCCATCCTTTCCTTCTTTCTAGAGAACCTTCAGACACCCAGGGAAAACGGCTGGTTTCAAAGGAACGCTGATTGAAAAGAATGGGGAATCAACCCCTAGAACTGTTGCTGTTGCGCGGGCAGACCGTGCAAGGCTCCGGCGGCTGCGACGCTTCCTTCTGGCCGAGCTGATGCGGGCAGCGGACTCCTTGAGCGGTTGCTCGAGGCCGGCATGCGACCGGCGGAAACGAGCGCCCCTGAAGGGTACAGATTTTGCGGGGATTGTCCCAAACCAAGCCAAATCAGTGGGGCGACTTGACTCCATCCCTGTGCCTTTCTTTGAACTGTTCCGTGTTATGGGGGCTAGTTCAATTGAACTGACATGCATCACTTTGCCGGTCTGCCTTGTTTCTGAAAGGCACTTGGTGGCTCGTGCGGCGGTGCTGCTAGGCACTTTGCCCCCGGGTGGGAGTGCAGACAAAATCACGTGCCGGCAGGCCTGACGTGCATCATGGGGCCAGCGCGACGCCGACACTTTGCAACTTGCAATGCGACTTGTTAATCTCGCCGCACATTGCGCTCAGCCAGGCCTTTGCCAGCTTTGGACCTACTCGCGTTCACACCGTGCGAGGCCCAAAGAGAGCGGCGCTCCGGGAAGTGTCAAGCAAGCGGTCTGCAAGAAATGACAGCATTGCACCGAGGCTCCGGGCCGGCTTTGCGGTCTTCTGGTTTGACCTGGTGGGCGTGGTCTCCTACGCCATCCTGGTGCTGCTCTCTCCACGGGTTGCGCGGATCGCAAAAAGAATCGGCTCCAGGTGCCGCTGCTGGACCACCTGGGCAACCCAAAGACGCGCCTGGAGTGCGTGGCACTCGGGCGCGAAGGTCAAAATTCGCAAAGGGCGGGTTTCCTCATGTCATGGTTGTCTCGTCTCCAGCCATGCCAGGTTTAGATGGATTCTTTGCGGTTGCGGGGGCGTGCTGCCTTGCGGCAGCGATTTCGGCCACTTGGCCACATGTTTCCTTTTGTGTACCGCTAGTGGTCCAAATATTGGCTGCGGTTCAAGTCATAGCATGTCTCACGACGCAGTCAGAAGCCCCTGAGGCCATGCTTCATTTTACCTCAACCCTGACTGCGCTGGCCTGAGCATGTTTTTCGCAGCCAAGTGCAAGATAGCTTAGCAACAGGAGGACAGCATATCATGCCTTGGCCCACATCTGTCAGGTGGCTATGATTGCCGGCCTGATGTTGAGCTGCTGCTGCGCTGTTGTCAGTGCTGTCCTCACTGCTGATATGTCAGAACAGGCTGGGCAGTCTCCTGACAGTTATTGTGATGCCTTGCGCGCACCCTTTGCACGGCCCCTTGCAGTTTGTTTCTTGGGTGGCGGTTTCAAGGCTTTGGAGTGTCCGACGAGTGTCATTTTGGAGAGTTTTGCAGCCTTGGATTTGAGTAGCTTGGCGCGAAGTCAGTTACAGGCGCCGCACTTGGCAGACGTGGGCGTTCGCCTGGTGCCTTGGAAGCACTGGCTATGGTGCCTTGGTCAGGGTACTGTGAGCAATGGACCGACTGGAGCCGAAGGCTTGGGGCCTGTTGAGTGGAGCAGCAGCACAATATGCCGGAGTCCGGCTTGGACAGGCAGCTTGGCATAGAAGTGGTCGCACAAGACATAGGTTGCACAGAGTTGCAATGTCAAAGCATGAGAGAATTCTGGCTTTTCGTGCTCTTCAAGTGCCTTTGCTCTCCATGCTTTCTGCCTCGACGTTTGCCTAGGCGCTCTTCTTGAAATCCTCCTGGCTGGGAGTTTGCAGCGCTGCTTCCTGCTGCTTGCTCGTCAGCCGTGTCTGGAGCTACAAGGCCCATATCGGAGAGTTGAAGGCTTGCGATTGTGGTGGCCGGGCTTGCATGTTCAACTCATGGAGGCTGTTTGCACCGAGCAGGGATCACAGTTCACGTGACTTCTCGTTGATTGATTCATACTTTCAATGCCAAGGCTCATGCTTGTCCGCAATGCAGGGGTGTGTCGTTCCTTCTGTGACTTGTCAGAACATCAGTAAGTTGGCGTGTCACTGTTTCTTTACTGGAGGAGCGAGTTACTTGCCTCATTTGCACACTCTTCGAACATGCAAGTTATACATGCAAGTCCACACTTTTGCTCGGGTACTTTTTGTGTTCCAAAGCTGCCGACTTCCCCACTGCAGCCAGCTAGCGACAACTCACAGAGCTACAGAACACTCACAGGTCACACGACTCAGCTTGCTGACCCTTTCAGCCTCAGCCAGGGAAGGTCATTGCAAGTTCTGCTTTTCCGGTTCTTCAGCATACCAGAGGCCTTGATATCTGCTTGTGGGCGAAAGCTACTCAGCGCCAAGAAGCTGTGTTTGGACTTGTCCCCGAACGAGGGGCTCCCCGACTCTCAAGCTTCGGCACACTCTTGAGAGTGCACCTCTCATGCCATGCAGCCGCCGGAGCCGCTGGCGCTGAAAGTTGGGAGCTCAAGGATCTGATAAATAAGCGCATGCGTTTTTGGAGAGCGGAGGTTGAAGTGCCACAGTGCATCCAATTCAATCCAATCCAATGACCACAGCAACCAGCCTTTGTCAGATCCAATCCAGCCAGCAACGTGACATTTGGAAGCGCCAGTCGAAACTGGCGCCGTTTGATCCCTCCGAAAGTCTCAGAGAACTTGGGTACCAGGAACTCCTCGAAGCCCGAAACGGAGACTCCCGGTACCTCGAACGCAGATTTGTTTTGGAGGAGACTTTCGGTTTTGGATGTGTTGGTCTGTGGGAAGAGACTTTCTGATGTTTTTGGAACAACAAAAGACATCCACTTTCTGAATTCGACTATTCTAGACTGAGGCTTTGGGGGACTCGGAAAAAAGGCTCGGCTCATGTGTTTTTGAAATTACCCACCCCCCGAGTTTTGCGAGAACGCCCACGTGTGCGAGCCGCGAGCGAGCGAGCCGCGCGCCGCGAGGTCATGCATTTGCGCCAGCCCTTTACCATGGCACCCCTCCCCGGCAGCGGCGCGCTGGTGCCCAAGGCGCTCATCCCCATGGCGCCTCGGACGAGTCGGACGAGTCGGACGTCGGGGCGTCGGGGTGTCGTGTCGGTCCCTGGGGAGAAACCCGTGGAATGGAGCGTCCCGACAAATGGGGGGGGTTTGAAAGCCATGAAATGGAAAGAAAAAACACAGGCAATGTCCTTTTGGAAACGGGCCTGAAAAGGGAAACATCACGTAGTTGTGCGTGCCTACGTGCACGTGCGTGCGTGCACGTGCCTGTTTGTTTGTGTGCTTGTTTGTGTGTGTGTGTGTGCTCGTGTTTTTGGGGGGTGCCCTTTTGGGGTTGTCTAAAGGGTCCTAAGGGCAAGGGGAAAGCCGTTTTTGGACCCCCTATTTTGATACGTACTCAAATAGGCCCTTGTTTCACGATTTCGAAGACAAGCCAAAATGGAAAAGATAAACCCGATTGGGCCACTGGGAGGTGAGACACAATCAAGAAGGTTGGGGACGGTCCGAGTCACGAACAGGTGCAGCCGTCCTTGCGATTTCTTCCCTTCAGATCGATGTCTTTACCAGATGGAGTGGTTCTCAATGGTTGGTGGCTTGCCCTTTCAAGCTTTCTTCAAAAGAGGCAAGTCGACCAAGGCCAGCGGTGTGCACAGAAGTTCCGTGGTGAAATATATTGCACTCTTGAGTCGTTGAGGCCCTCATTGGTCAGTGACTGCAGTGCATAGACGCCTAGGTACATTTGGGAAATATGACTGTGAACCAGCTGAGTTGAACAACTCGTTGGACGTTTCAATTCAGCAGTCTTAGACAGTTGCTTGTCTAGTGCTGCCTCAGTGCATCAAGCAGAACCGGCACGTCCGCAAGCCTGAAGTGTCATGAAAAACAATGTAGTTGTCCATGGCTTCGCGCAGCTGTAGAAAACCTGTGATTTGGTGATTTGCTTTGCAACACCATAGTTTGGAATCCACTGGCAAACGATTGCTTTGCCGGCTTTGCCGATGGTATGTGTTCACTTGAGGATGGCATGCTGTGGTCATGCGTGTTGAGATATGAGATATTGTCAGCCGTTTGAACCACATCCATCATATTTTGAGTTCTGATTCAGAACGGATATCAACTCGCACGCAGTTTACACAGTTGGTTCGGCACATCAGGATTTTCCAGGGCACAACGATCAGCCATGGCAATTATGAGTAAAGATGGGGCATCTTGCATAGTCTGGTCACTTGTGTGCCCCAGCCATGACAATGCTCTTGTCCCAGTCATCGGTCAAAGTTTGCTCAGCCGCTGGCAAGGAACTCCAGCAGTTCCTGGTGGGGGAGCACTTCACAGGGTACCTACACATAACCAACACCAGCAGTCACATGGTGGACAACGTGGGCCTCAAAGTGGAGATCGACATAGGCGCAACCTGCCAGCGCGCATGCGCTGGCGCGCATGCGCTGGCGCGCATGCGGCCGGAAGCGCGCAGGTTCTTCCAAGTTCACGCTGCTCAACACAGCCGCTTGGCTCATGGCGGCTCATGGCAGCTGCTGCGCTCCTGGCAATCTCGCTTCCTTGACAAAGTGAGGTGTCATCCAAAGCAAGCTTGCCACCAGGCGGGCATGAGCTTTTTCCTAAGTTGACATCAGGCGCCACAAGCGTAAAGGCCAGAACGTTTTGCAGGACAAGATACGTTTTGGTCCACGGTATGTAGTAAGACCACAGCAATTCCCGAATTTCCATTGCGCGTGAGTGCCGAAAATGGTGGCATCATCAAGAAGCAGCTCTTAGCCTAGTGCTTAACATAACGTGGATTTGCACTTTTTTTTTGCACACTTGACATGCCTCACAATGCTCAGACTCGGATTTAACATTCCCTAGCATCAGTGCTTCTGGCTTTGTCCGTGCATTTTGGCAACTTGGCAGGTGAGTTTGTGGACGCGATAGTTGAGCATGGCCTTTCGGATGCTGGCACATACGCGCCTTGGATCAGGACTCCCGGGGCCTGAGGCACTGATCTTTGGAACGCTTTGAGGCACTGACGTGCTTTGTGTCCTACACCTGCAACGGCGAGGCGCAACTTCTGGCTTTGCAGCCGAGCTTCGCTTCGTTGGTCTTCCCAGTCTTTGGCAAGTGTCGCAAGCCGTGCTTGGTAGCTTTTGGCCAGGGGCAATTCAAGCGTTCCTACCGCTTCCCGGCTCTGGCACCATTTGCAGTATCTCACCGCGTCGTGCAGCTTGACGCTTGCTGAGCATGGGGCTAGGGGATGTTTTCTGCGCTCCTGAAGATGCTATCGGCAAGTGCGCTACTAGTCTTGTCTCTCCCACAACCAATGTAGGAGCTGCTGCGAGCTGATTGGGCCTTGACCATGCTCAGCCCAAGCGAAATGTGCTTTCGAGAGTAAACGCTTGGCATAGCTGAGGATCGACAGCTGCTGGTCGAATGTACCATGGGCTGCATTTGCTGCATTTGCCTGTGCGCACCATCAGGCATACACATCCCCCAAAGCAGCTTTTTGTTTGCCCCACAAGTCACTGAGGTCTAATTGAGAACTCCTTAGACGGCCGCATTTATTTGCCGCCAGCTCGAACGCAGTGGGAGCTTGCAGGACGTTCGCGAGCTGTTCGATTGCAATGTGCATCACTTTGCGTCCCAGGTCGTCATGGCATTTGGATTGCGCAGAGGGCTTCCAGAGCGAGCTGGTTACGGACATTGCCAGTGACCCTGTGTCAGGCCCGTTGAGCCTATGGCAAAAAAGAGTAAGCAGCCGGAAAATATGGCGAGTTTTTTGGGCAAGTCATTAGCAGTTGACCATGCTTGCGGCAGTTGAACTTGCTACGACTTGCCATGCAGGCAATTCGGGCCCGCTGCTGAAGCAAAGGGGTTGTTTCTCCCTGGTCTTTCGAGTGACTCCAAAAGATGAGTCTGCGGATTCCGCGCCTTGGCCGAAACTCCAATGGAAACACCGCCCCCTTTGCTTGTATGAGTGTGGCAGATGAGTGCAAAGCCCAGTCTGATAATTTGGGTCAATCTTTGTAAGCATTTGTCATAGCACGCAACGCAACACCTGTACGAGCAAGGGAAATGGTTTGGCGCGAGTATGGAGCAAACATTGTATTGTACGTACAAATACTTGTTTCGCGTGGCAAGAGGCAATATCGCCCTGCAGGGTATCCAAAACTTCTACACGCTAGTGAGCGAGCAATACCTGCGATTCGCGCATTACATGAGACGGTGTTTGGGTGTAACTGGCTGCCAAAAGCGGCAGGCTTATTGACATCTTCCTAAACTGGGAAGAACTTGGCAACCTCAAGGAGGCCCTTTTTCTCTCAATTCATATTGGTCAACCTTTTTTTGGTGTTAAAGGGACACCAAAAGGAAAACCATTTTAAGGGTACCCGAAAGAAAGACACACCCATATGAGTCCCAACACATATCTTGGCACCCGATTTTCCTCCATCACAATTCGGAATCCTTGGGCGAGAGCCTGAGATCTTCGGGCAACCGGGGAGGTGTCTCGCCACTTTTCGCTTATTTTGATACCTGGTAATGTGAACATTACTGCAGAGCCTTCCCCCCAGGCTGCAAGACTTGAAAGTTGTGCATTGGATTTTTCGTGCTCGCAGCTTTCGATGATTTGCGTGAACTCTGTGCCACTCGGAGCTGTCGTACTGGGCAACCCTGTACTCACCTGTGCCTTGTGGCAATTGCGCACTAGATGCGCCTGGGCGACGGCACAGTCATTTTCGCGCTTTGTTTGGTGTGAGTGAGAAGTAGTTTCAGGACACCAATGTACATGACGCAATGTGCAGATTTAAGACACCATTCTGAAATTCTTGAAGACATACGCGACACGACAATCATCACACATCATGTGACTCCGAAACTAGTCAGGTACGATCAGCGCGAGCTACTAGATAGGGGAGTCTTTCGTGGGAAGCCTGATCGCTTTCGTGGGCGACCCCCCCCTGGCAACTTACCCCCCCCACCAATGAACCTGGAAGACAGCAACCGGGTCCCTTTAAAAGGAGAATGGTGGCGAAGTCGTTCAATTGGAAGCTGAGGCCACGCTGCGGCAGCGGGAGGTCATCGGCAACCTCTCGCTGGCCTGGCAGGTGCCAGACGGCCCTCGGGGCTGTATGGACGGCCACCAGATCCGCGTCAGGGCTCTGCAGGCGCTGGCCCGGTGGCTTTCGGGATGTCGGGGGAAGGGCCGCAGAGAAGATTGGACCGTCCCCCAACTTTTCTCCGAAACACTGGCGTTCTCGGGGTGGGGGGGAAAAAAACCGATTGCTCTCTTGGAAGCGCATGGGCCCACCCAAATTCCAACTACAGAAAGGGACCAGGGCGGCCTGTGGAGCGACTTTCCATGTTCCTTTTTTTGGGTTTCCAACCAAACAGTGGGGGCTATGCAGGTGCCAAACTTGGATCTACAAGTCGTGGAGTGCCCAAAGAGCGTGACCGTGGAGGTGCCTTTCGAGCTGGAGCTTGAGGCAGGCGCTCAAGTGTTTCTTGAAGGAGAGGTTGGGTCCAGCATCACCATCCACTTGGGGGCTTGTTTGAATGTTTGAATGTTTTTCTGCCTGTTTGTCTGTCTGTCTGTCTGGCTGGCTGGCTGTCTGGCTGGCTGGCTGGCTGGCTGTCTGGCTGTCTGGCTGTCTGGCGGTCTGTCTCTGTCTGTCTGTCTGTTTGTCTGCGCTGTCTCTGTTGTTTGAGGGTATTTCTGAAGTCAGTTTGAAGGGACGTCAAAAGGAAAGCAATTTGTGGGGTCTCAAATTTTGACGCCTACCCGTTTCCGCTTCTCTCGTTCTTGCCTAAAACTCCTGCTGTGACTGCGCGGCTGGCAGGTCACGAACCGCACCAAAGAGTCGCTGCAACCAAAGGCCAGTGGGGTGTCGGTCAGGGCTTGTTGAGCACTGAAAGGCCCTCTGGCTTTGACCTTAAACCAGTGGACACAAATACACGGGTCAAGAACCGGTAACCAAAATAGAAGCCTGGTAAATGGAAAAAGCAAGAACTAGAAAACCTGCAGTCTTTCAGTCTTTTGGTTTAGTTTTGACCCAAATCCCCACATATCCCCACCTCCCCACATCTCCCCTTGACCTCCCCACCTGTGTCCACTTTTCTTCTTACCTTCCGAGATGAGCTTCGACCTGCGGCTCATGGGCGCGGTGAAGCTGCAGGGCCCCTGCCAGCGGCTGCTGAAGCTGGAGCCGGGCCAAAGGCGCTCGACCGACGGGTTCAACATGTGGGCTTATGTGGGCTTGGATGTGGGGAACGAGTTGCTTGACAAAAATGGCTGGTGTGACGGTTCAAGTTCTATGGTTCATGCTTAGGCTGAATGCCGGCGAGGGGCGAGCTTTGACCAGTCCGCTGGCTTTCCGCTGGCTTGCTTGGCATGTCATTTGAGAGTGGAGATTCTTATCTGAGTCGCCAGCCGGATACCTTCGGCTGCTCTTTTTTGTTTACGGTCTTGTCCGTTGGTCCTGGTTTCAATCAACCTCGCATTGGGCTTTGAGTAGGCGCCAGGGTTGGTGCATCGGCAAGGTTGCCTAAAGATGACTTGCGTGGTCGCTCGCACACGTGAACAGCCCGGCTGCTGCTGATCTCTTGAAGCCGGTCAAACCTAGCCCTTGCCAAGCTGGTGAACACGAATTTACTACTCCCTGCAGATGAACATGGAGCCCAAAAAAAAGTCCAAATGGAGATTCCTCTAAATATTGTGGGTGTTTGGGTTCCAATCCTGTCGCATCTCAGATGCCGTCTGCCCATTGAGCTGGTCGTCACGGTGCCGGGACTGCATGGCCTTCAGGGCCTGTCCCTGGCAGACCCTTCGGCTCGGGTGCCCGAAGCTGGCTAAGCCCCGCACGTCAGCCGGGGGGGGGGGCTGTTTCGAGATTTATGTTTTTTTCTTCTTAGAAGTATGAAGGGGCACAACAAAGCTCGCAGCCAGGAAATGCTGGGGAAAAAGAATCAGGCTGCCTGCAATTGAACTTGGCTTCCTTTGCAAGACGCTTCTCAACTGACTGACTTGCCAAGGTCCCTCGGGTGGACTTTGGGGTGCTTTGTGACATCCTGGCTTTCTAGCGCGAAAGGAATCGCCTGTGCTGCGCGCCTGTGCTTGCACATGCACCTAGAGTAATGATTAGCGCAAGGGATCCTCGTTCCATGCTCTTCAGGGGGTGTCGTCTTTGTGTTCACCCCCTTTCTTGTGGTGTTAAAGGAAAGTTCAAAGGAACAACAGTTTGGGGCTCCTCTAACAAAGACACCAGAACTCCACAGAACCCACATGTTTGCCACTCACTTCTGCCGTTTTGCCAGGCGCTGGGAAGTGCGGGCCATTTCCGCCCTGCACCTCCTGCACCGGAGCGCATGTGACGGCCATGACGGGGGTGAGGCCGTGACCCGCACCCAGGGCTCAACCTCGGCGTGTCTTTCTTTTTCGCATTTTTTTTGTGGATTGAAAGGGACACCAAATGGAAGTCACCATTTGCAAGGGTGTTTACTCACTTTTCTAAGCTTTTTTCATGGCCACGGTTCTACGATGCTTTATCTCCTGTATTCTTTACTCATTGCAGTAGCGATACTAGCAGCCTTGTGATCCCTGTGGCTGAATTCAATGGCCAAAATGGCCTGCACGGCGCTTTGCGAGTCACGGCTGCCAGGGCCTTGAAATTATGTCCGTCTCCTTACAGCCTGAGACGCCATGTTTCAGACCCTGGCACGGAGATGCCGGATGGCGGCCCAGCGGCCGCACTTGGTGAGCTGTGACGGTGAGAAATATGTTTGCCTCGAGCGCAACTGCCAGGCACTGGGCAGTGGTTTTCGCGATGGGCAACTCAGTCGCTCTGATAAAACTTGGCTTGCAGCGACTTGAACATGAGCACATCATGCAGCACCCGCACTGATCCTCTACATGCGATTGATCCACGGTTCCCCTTTGTGCAGCGCTGAATTTTCATTTGGCAAGCCGTGGCGAACCGCCATGTCGTCTCTATCCGCCTTCGTGGTTCCGTTCACTGCTTCGCTGGCACCTTAAAAGACTGGCCTATTTTACTCTGGCGACACGATGGGAACACGCCTGGATTATTTGCTTTGGAAATGCATGAGGATTCCTTCACAGCCTGCTCCCCGCCGAGCAGTGCGCGGTTTTGAGGTCGCAGTCGGGGAAGGGCTTTGTTGATCATATTGCACCAGCTTGCGCGTGTCTTTGTTTAGGAATCGCAACCCCGCAAAATGGTTAAAGCCTTTTGCTTTCCCTTTAACACCACAAAACGGGGGTACCATCAACAAAAATCGACTTACTTGGTCGTCCAGGCGAAGAGCAGTGGAGGGCCCTCGCCAGAGCCTTGAGGAAGGCTGTTTCTCTTTAGCTGGGTTGGTTTTTGTAGGGGACCCACGCAATGGCCGGCTTTCCTTGTGGTTTGAAAACCAACCAGAAAGGGTACGCCACGTTGACCAAATCACCTGCACCCAGCGACTTGCACCAGTGCTTTGAGTTGTCGACTTGCCTCTCAGGTTGGGCGTCGCAGGGATTACTGCCTTTGTAGCACATCGCCTCGTAACCCAGGCCGCCAGTTGTGCGCCGTTTCAGGGCCACATGACTGTCAATTCATGTTTGTTTGTGCTTGGTATATCTTTTGACTCATGTGAGCCAATTTGAGAATGACCAGGCTTGTGGTTCTGACTTTTTCACAGGGGCGGCGCGCGCAGCGCTCGCAGCCGCCAGATGCGGAGGCGCCTCGCCTGACGCGGGAGACTCAGTGATTCTGTGATCCCTTCCGCGTGTTGAGGGGGAGTTATTGTAAACGCTTCGCGGTGCCCGCCTCGGCCATGACTGGTTGCTAGAGGGGAATTTGACCGGTTTCTGGGAGGAATGTGACCAGCTTCTTGGGGGAACGGACTGGAGTTGGGCCAGTTTTTTGAGGATTTGACTGGCGTCGAGTCTGGAAGGGAATTTGACCAGTTTCTAGGGGGAATGTGATCGGCTGCTTGGGGCATTTCTAGAGGATTTTCTAGAGGGGGTTTTTAGGGGGATTTGATCGCCCGGTTTTAGAGGGGGTTTGACTGGCTTCTACGGCATTTGACTGGCTTGGCTGGATTTGATCGGGTTCGGCAGCTGGAGCATGGTTTTGGGTCGCGCGACATGGGTCTAGGTTACCCTGTGATTGCTTTGCACGGAATCCAGAAGTCCATCGCCTTTGAGGGATCATTTTGAGGGGCAGCCTTTGAGAAACCGAGGACGCGCAAGAAGAGCGACCCACAAAACGTCACGTTGCTGGACATAGGCACCGTGTACTCCGCGATGGCCCTAAGTGTGTGCCTTCCATGTGAGCTGTGGTCAGACAAAACGGGGTCCATTTTGGAGGGACATGGTGACTCTCTCAATTTCACCAACCCCAGAAATCTGACAAGAGCCTCTACTTGGCCCATAGAGGGTGTAGGTTTGGTCAAACTCTCCACAAAGTGGGATGGACGTGGGGGAGGACTCAGGCCAAAATTCAGCTTGGGAAATGCTTGGCCGTGGGGTGTGTGTGTGTGTGTGTGCCCCAGGTCAAGGAGGATTTGAGCAAGCCAAGCATTACAGCTGCTGATTCGCAGCCAAAACAGGAGCCTGTGCAAAGTGCTTGACATCGGTGCCAAGAAAGGATGAGTTAAAATGACGGCTCGGCTGTTGTGACTGCCAACAATACGAGGAAGACGCAATGCCTCGTAACCTCAGTGAGAGAAAGCTCCCAGAACGTGGGTTTGCCTTTGTCAGCAGAGACTTTGAGGTGCTTGCGGAGGATTTAAAGGAATCCAATCGTTGGGATGGGGTCCGATATTTTGAGACATATTTGCATGACGATTGCCAGGAGAAGTTCATAGTGCAGAGGAGGGCTGATGTCAAGGATCCCCAAGAGCTGATCAACGAGGCAGCCCTGCGACTCTGTAATGAATTGTTTTTTTGGCCAAGTCCCTTGACTGGTTTGCCGTGAACGCCTGACTTGTGTTTGGCGTTGTGCATTTGCATCATCATGTTGCCGACAGTTGGAGAGGCATTTGGCATGGTTCCTGCCATTCGGTTTTGCAGACATGGCCGTTATAGGTGGCTGCGGATATGCAGGACATGGACGAGGAGTGCCTGAGAAGCTGGTCAAGTCAGTTGCAGGTTTACGTCAAGTCAGACAAGACAAGAAGCACACAGAGCAAGATCAGAAACGCATTGGGGCGACAAATGTGTGCCTCAAACGGCTGAATCAGAGGTCGGCATGATGTGTTTGGTCAGGTTGGTCCCTTACACAGGTATGCAAATTGGCGTGAGTCTTGGGTTGAGGTAGGTTTCGATGAGGGTGGGATTTGGGTCGGTGTGAGTCCGAGTTTGGGTGGGTGCTGGGTTGCTTTATGGTGGGTTCTAGGCCAAACGAGCGTGGGTTCAGAGTTGAACTGATTCAGCCTTGTATGTGGTTTCCGATTCTCCGACCGCGCCTCAATTTGAATGCAGGTGATTTGCTTGTCTTACCTTCCGATTCCAGATCTGATTCTTGCGTCTTGATCATCCCCTCACCCGTCTATTGCACCTGTGAGGACTTCCTGAAAAACCTGCTTGAAATGACGGAAGTTCAGCGCGCAGATCACATTGCCGTTCCCTCAGGTGCCCGCAAGGGTCCGCCAAATTTTAGAAAGGTCCAGAAAACTGGCCTAAACTCAGAGCCTCAGCGGATATGGCTGCGCTGTTGCTCCCCTGTCGCTGGTGCTCGAAGTTGCCGAGCGCGATGATTACCGGTGGCCATTGTATGGTGAAATAACTTAGGAAGAGCTGACACGCAAGGCGTTCGTTCTCATGGAGGCTCGGAGGGGTCAACAGCATTGTATAGTTCTTCCTTCAGGGGTCACCGGACTTCCCCTTCAAAAGTTGCAACTGGCTGGTGGTTTTTTTTGGAATCTCAGCGGCGCTCTGACGCGACGCGCGTCTCTCAGCCGCAGGCGGGCGAGATCAACGAAGCCAAGGAGCACCTGGACCGGGCGTCGCGCGTGGCCTCCGCTTTCGAGCGCTTGAACCAGGACGGGAAGCTGCTCGCGGGGAAGGGATTGCAGAGCCGGGGTTGCAGAGCCAGTGGCGCATAAAAGCCCCTTCAGAGCTTCTTCTTCTTTTGTTTGTTTTTTTCATTGTTTTTTTCGGCACTTTGGAGTGTGCAGCAGAAACAATGGCACATAACACATGCTATCAGTCGTGCTCTTGACTGATCGCCGAAGATTTGTGCGGAGGAGTTTGAGATCATCCGCAAGAAGCAGTACGCGTACCAACGAAAAGATGAGACGCAGGCCTGAAACATTGACAAGGACGCTCAACATTTTTCAGAATCTCACTATCAGCCACACACACACACAAACAGAGACCGCGCACATACACACAGGCACACACACACACACACATCACTTGGACGCCGCTTACACAAACCCAAACGCAGGCAATGTATATAAGCACAATCACACAGTTGGTACTCTCGTTTTTGGTCCTCAGGTTGAGTCACTGAGTCTCCGGGACCCAGAGCCAGCTGCCTTTGGAACTCAAGCACTTTTAGTTTTGACTCTGACAGGTAGTGCTGGAGTTGCAGCGCGAGCTGCACCGAGTGACTCGGCAATCCTTGACTGTTTGAGGTGTGTTAGAGCCACCCCAGTGCAGGTTTACTGGGGATGGTCCCAACCCAAACCTAATGCAAGGCCTTTACCATTTTCTTGTTATTGCGGTACCTCCCGCAGTTCAAGGGAGGTTTAACAGTTGGGGGATATATCCAAATGGGCCTTTCCATGGCACGGCCATCTTGTCAGTAACTCCGAGACAGGGGGTTATGCAGGTTTTTACGTCTTTGTTCCCACATACCATGTGCATCCTTTCAAACAAATCCGCGTGAGGATGACTTCGACATGATCTTCGGCGCCAAAGCCAAGCTCGCGAGGTTCATTGGCGGCGTATGATTTGCTAGCAGATCGCATCTTGCGGCTGGATCCGTCATGAAATAGCTCTATCTGGCTTGTCCGGTTGGCTGATTCCTTTTGATGGAGCCAGCCGCTCATGACACATGGTGCGACTTTGCATGCAGCAAATGGGCAGCAGGCTGCTTCACCGCAAACCGATAGAGTTGCGTGTTTTCTACTTCGTATCCTTGAGGAAGGGGCACAAGCAGCTGTGTCAAGCAAAGCAACAGTAATGGCCCATTCCTTCACCTTCTCCGTGGGTACACGGGAGAGTTGCTCATCACATTCCTATGTCAAAGGGGGAACAATGAACATACTAGAGATGCTGACCATCCTTAGAAGCATTAGAACGCATTTTACGGCGAGGTGTTCGTTTCAAGCATCGTGACTAACCGCCTCATCTGCCCAAGCGTGTCACACCTCCATTGCGACCTAAGACTTGGCTATGAACGAACTAAGTTCCGTAAGTTCACTCCACAGTCAGAACTTTTGGAATCCTTGTCCACAACATGTTGCTGGTTCCCTTTCGGCAATCACACGGAAAACGCATATATGTAAATATGTATATATCTGTGTAAATACTGCCCTTCTTCTCGCAGCCTCTTCAGATAGCCACCGTACCGAGCCCCTCCAATCGACATGGGTGAACTAAGACAAAATGAGATAAGTGGCGTGCTTGAAAACACGTCTGACTTGAATGTGTTTGTTATTCCTTTTCTTCTGTTCTTCGTTTCCTTCTTCCTCGGCTTGGTCTCTCTTTACTCCTACTTTGCCATGCAATTGCGCTCTGGACGTCCTGAGCATTGTATTGTTTTCGTTTGAGCTCGTCATTGACATTGTCCAAGTCTGGCATTCTGTTTTGTGCTGACATCTCTGCCTTTCTTTGCATGCTGGTCAATTCAGTACAACCGCACTTCTACTACTGTTGATTCTTGGACTTTCAGCAACTCGCCCGCTTCTGACCATTTTGAAGACGCAGAAGGCTCTAGCTTGTTTTTGGCTGGCATCAAGGTCAAGATTTCATTAATCATACCCTGCCAGAAGTTGGGGTGCTGGGGGAAGACAGCCTACTGCCTCTTGAGACTGCACGTGCTTGCGCCAGCTGAGCTGAATGCAGCACAGAAACGCCGAGAAGCTTAGCATTCAGAATGGCCTTCTTGAACTGTTGCTTCGATGCAGCAATCACATTTCTAAACACATGCGCCACAGCATCCCGATTTGATGAGTTTGCTGCTCCGTCCAAATATCAGAGTCCCTTTTCGCCCCTTTTTATTACAAGCCTGGTCGGGATCACTCAGTCAACGTCTTTTTGGTTTTGACAAGCGGATACAATTGTGAACGTGGCAGCGCAGCGCCAGTCCGCACCATAGAGTAGTCAGATAGATATTCATGTATGCAAGAGCAACGTCATTGGCAAAGCACTGCATGCTGCATGACAGAGACGATTTTGACTTTGCGGACCAAAGAGCAACAAGTAGTCTGAGGTCTGCATAGGCGAAATGTTCTACCCCGATTGAACAACTTCTTATCACATGATCAATTCTATATTTTACATGGACAACTTACAAGTTGCCAGATCAGTGGGCAGAGGCAAGCATCAAGCTGCTCAAGATATGTAAGTCCAAGGGATGTGACAGAAAAAGAGTCGCACTCATTCAGCATCAACCTCATATCCAATCAAAAGGCAAGATGCAGCCAGCAATGTATCAGGAAGCACGCATCCGCCCCTCCGGTTCAAAGCGAGATGCATGGCAGTCATGACTTAAAGGCATGGGACACTGAGGCCCTGTCAGTACAGTCGCTAGTGCACACCACCAGCAGTCGCAAAAGCTTAGCTCTTGTGTTCCACCTCAGCTTCTACATCGGAGAGTCAGTCGGAGAGGCAGACGTGTCAAAACACAAAGGCCATTTCCTGAGTTGCTTGGCCGTGCTTGGCGAGTTTTATGCCCCCTCGTCAGTTGTGCCTGCCAAAGAGCCCTTGGATATGAACATTTCAATGCTGCGAATGCCAAGACTCTGCGCAACAGGCGGGAAAGAAGTTCAACACTTTCAACTCTTGTAGCAGCTCTTGCACAGAGCTCCTTTGATCTCAGTGACAATCAGCGATTTGATGGTCCAGAGACCCGCCTCACGATTCTCTGTTGTGCGATCGAGGAAAAGAGGCGCCTCATCTGAAGCGTGCAGGTCAGGCGAGACAATGCCGCAAGCGACTGAACATTGCTTCAGCTCATGTCGAGGCGTTTGATTCAACTCATTGAAGTCTCCAAGGACCATCTACGCGTGTTTTCCCGTCCTTTTGCCAAACCGGCTCAAACCAAGGCCTTTGGTTTGCAGCGCTTCACATGGCCTGCGCCATGGCGCGAGACCCTGGATGCTTGCCAAGCGCCTGGAGTTTGAGGCCGGCGAACTCCAGTCACCAGGAAATGGTCCGCAGGGTTGAGTGTTTGTCCACCAGTTTCCATTGGCCAGGGCAAGCCATTTTGGGGTGACCCGATTTTTGACAAACAGCCGGATTGCTCAAACGGCAGTTTAGATTGCTCAAGTACTCTTGACTGCTATTGGGTAACGGATCTTTAGACTTTAGCTTTTTGGTTGAAATCTCAGGTTGGGTTTGCCGTACTAAACCCACAAAGAGTTCTTCACTTTTTGCAGAGGGGTCAACAGCAACCTACTGAGAAATGCCGAAGCTTGCAAGCCTCCAGGTCTGCATAACCGATGCGGGCCCAGTGGGGCTGGTGCTGTCGGGCAGGCCCAATGGGCCATGCGCTTTCGACCGCTCGTCTCTGCTCGTCTTTGCACAAGACCATGGCATACATAGGGTGTTGTTTTCTTTTTTGTTGGTTTGGTTGGAAGTGGATGGGTTCCACTGCTTCAGATTGGTATTGTGCTATCCATTTCCCCTGACCCCCATCTACTTTTCAAGAAGGTCACCTATGATGGCATACTGAAAAAAGGCCACTGACCGTGGAGTCGGTGCACCCGGAAGCGCCCCTGGCGGTACACAGTGCCCGGGTTCCCAGAAAGTTTCCAGTGGGTTGTTCCTGCGCTGGAGTCACAGAAATCCAGCGCCGTAGCACAACCCCGAAATAATGGCTTCCTTTCCGGGAATCGCAAAGTTCTGACATGGTTCAACATCCAAGGTGGAAGTTGGCAGCATCCTCCTGTCGGCGAATGACATCAATGTGGATCCACTCTCTCGTCAGGCGCTACCTCCATTGCCATTTGCAAGTTCCGTTCGGCGCATACAGCGACTGCTGGGTGGGCAGGCTTGTGTAGAACACGAGGGCCTTGGAAAGCCCTTGGTATGGGGCCCGCTTGGCAGCGCAATTTCGCTCGGCAGTGCTTGAACCACTCCGCATTGTGTTTATCAGGCGGCCTTATCGCTTTAACTTTGAACTCACCTAGACTCGATCCGGCAGACCTCACTAAAACATAGCTTGCAATGCCACAACGCTTTGCCGGCGGCAAAGTCAGACACGTCGCGGGTCACGGGCCAGGAGCTTGTCTCGCTACTCCGCCAGCGACCCTTGCACCTTCGCTTTCGCAAGAGGCCATCGTGTGAGCCGAGAGTCCGACTGTCCAATTCAGGAAGTTGGAGAGTCAACAGCGGATCTTGCTGACCCAGTTGTCCTTTTCCAATTAAAGTTGCTGGGAAGAACAGTGGCAACAAAAGGAAGATGTCGGAACCTCGCCCCCCCCCCCCCAAAAAAAAAGAAGAAAAGAACGACAGTAAAGAAAAAAAACACAAACAAAAAACAGCTCCAAAATCGAAGCATTCGCAAGCAGCACATTCTGAGCTGCCCTGCCGTTTTTTTCAATTCTCAGCTCTGCGGCATCCTGGCCACGCTCCCCTCGACCGGAGCAAAGCGAGAGGATGATCCGCTTTGAGGCGAGATGTGAACTGGTATTGCTCGAATTTCTTGAGTCTTGAGTCTTGCTTGAATTTCTTGAGACTTGAGTCTTGCTTGAGTCTTGCGAACTTGTATTGCTTGAGTCGTGCTTGAGTCTTTCCTGAGTCTTGTGAGCTTGCATTGCTTGAATTTTCTGACCTTCGGTCTTGAGTCTCAAAAGTCTCGCAGGTCGAGGTGACAACTAGCAGCAAGGTGATTGGCCCCTCGGCCTTTGTCTTGAATTGGGGAATGCAGATACCAAGCGTTGCCGCAGAAATTGCCAACAAGCAGAAAGTGGATGGTCGACTTGGTCAAGTCTGAGGCTTGGTCCCCGACAACTGGCCTCCGAACCCTGTATTTGTGGCTGCTGTTGTGCCGGGCAGCCTCGCAGGGGCCTTGTTGAGCCATCGCACCTCAAAGTGTTAGTGGGACCGTGACAGTCGCCGGCTGGCCCCCCGTAAGTGTGTCTCTTTCTTTGAGTTGGTCCCCGTTTTTTGGCTGGGTTTTCAAGGGAAACCAACCGGAAAGCCGAAGCAATTTTGGAGCGGACCTCAAAAAAGACGAGCCCGCGCGATTTCGTCGCGCCCAGATGGAGAAGGAGGGCGTCCAGGTGGGGGACCAGCTCTGCGGGGTGAACGCCCGCATGGTGCGCTCCTTCGATGCGGACGGCCTGGCACTGGAGCTGCGGAAGAGGCGGGCGCACAGGGGGTGGGGGTTGGGGTGGGGGGGTGGGGGGTTGGGGTGTGGGTGCTGGGTTGGGGTGTGGGAGGGTGCGGGATGGCGCGGGGGTAGGGGGTGGGTGGTTTGAGTTGGTTGAGCTTTGGGATGGCAGGCCGAGCATTCTGACCTTCCAGAGGGAGCTGAAGACGGAACGCGGAGCTCCTAGCGCTTGATTTTTTTTGGCAGGTTTGAGCCATGGGGCTGCGATCTGAGGCTCAGAGTCACCAGGGCCTTTGAAGATGCTGGACTTGACTTTCGGTCCACAGCAGGAGATTGCAACGACGTGCTTTAGAACCCGCTTCCCGTGTCTACGGCTTCATGGCCTCATGTCATCTGTTTGTCAGGGAATGCTGGGCATCGTCCCGGAGACCTGGCCCCCGGGGCCAGTGCTGCTGGGAGCCGTGGCACCACTCTCAAAGCCCGGCCATTTTGAGTTGTTGTTCTTTTTGTTCCTTTTTTTTTCTCCTCTTCTTTTTCTTCCCCATTTTTTTTCCTAAAAACATCATAAGCATATATGAGGGTTTGTTGTGGAGGCATCTTTCCCCAGTTTG